TGTTGGAACCACATGCTTGTGAGATCCATACTATCTATCCTAGGGTATAAAAAGCTTGCTGGAATCATGGTCCAGGCGGCTGGCCGATCCTTCGGCTGGTCGTAGGACCGTCGAGGCGATTCGCTCAGTCCTTGTGGACTGGGTGAATCGTGACAGAGGACGCCTCACTTTCCGGCTCACGCAGGTGCTCACTGGGCATGGTTGCTTCGGTGAGTTCCTGCACCGGATCGGAGCCGAGCCGACGGCAGAGTGCCACCATTGTGGTTGCGACTTGGACACGGCGGAGCACACGCTCGTTACCTGCCCCGCATGGGAGGGGTGGCGCCGTGTCCTCGTCGCAAAANACCAGTAATTACGCAAATTATAATTTTGCGGGTTTGATTTTTATTACACGATGTTATTCCTTCACCGTGGAAGTCAATCGTGAACATTTGTTGAGTACATATTTCATTAGAAAAATTGGTACCCGCCTGCGGGATTCGAACACCGGTGCATCGCTTCAACACGAATGCACCGGACGTCTTATCCTTTAGGCCACGACGACATATTTTACGAAGGGTGCGAGATATGTTGACCTTCAGGGCGGTAATAAACTGTGGATTGTCTGCATAGACTAGAAATTTCAGGTATCCCCACATAAAGTAATCGAGCGGTGTTAAGTCACATGATCTCACACATCTTCGATTTTCTCATCAAACACTACATGACGATCACGACCACTCTATCAAGAGTGGCACCATTGAGAAGAAGAAGAAATTTAATGTTTCCCGTGCTGTATGGCAAGTGGTGCCGTCCTGTTGGAACCACATGTTTGTGAGATCAATACTATCTTTTTTTTTTTTTTTTTTTTCGGGTAGCGGGTCGACCCTCCTACGAGGTCCCCGCGCAAAAGGGGCGCGCGGGGGTATGTGAGACTCAACGATCTGCATGTTGTTGTGAGCAGACCGCGGGCCCAAGGATTTTAGGACCCACCCACTAAACGACTCCCCTGCACTTTTACACCCGACGTCCGATCCCCTCCGAGGTCAGAACCCGGATGAGGTAGGGGGGCTACCGCGGTCAACACTACAACCAGACGGCGCGGCTCACCCCAAGGACGCCCAGCCGACGGAGCCTTCGAGACGAATCGAAGGCTCTGAAACGTCGGCCGTCTCGGTACGGCAGCTCGTCGGGCCGCCCAGACGGTGCCGCTGGTGTCCCGGAATACCCCGCTTGACCAGAACCAGCCTGCCGGGTCGGGACGCGATACACCGTCGACCGGTTGCTCTATTCACTCCACGGCAGCGCACTAGAGTGCTGGTAGCGCGCCGCGCGGCCTCACTCCCTCAGGTCGCCCCTTGACCTTCACCGGGGAGAGGCCGCTACCTACAGAGATCCATACTATCTATCCTAGGGTTTTTTTTTTGTTGCTTTTTTTTTATTGCTTAGATGTGTGGACCAGCTCACAGCCCACTTGGTGTTAAGTGGTTACTGGAGCCCATAGACATCTACAACGTAAATGCGCCACCCACCTTGAGATATAAGTTCTAAGGGTCTCAGTATAGTTACAACGGCTGCCCCACCCTTCAAACCGAAACGCATTATTACTGCTTCACGGTAGAAATAGGCAGGGTGGTGGTACCTATCCGCGCTGACTCACAAGAGGTCCTACCACCAGTAATTACGCAAATTACAATTTTGCGGGTTTGATTTTTATTACACGATGTTATTCCTTTACCGTGGAAGTCAATCGTGAACATTTGTTGGGTACGTATTTCATTAGAAAAATTGGTACCCGCCTGAGATTCGAACACCGGTGCATCGCTTCAACACGAATGCACCGCGTTTCTTATCGCTTAGGCCACGATGACTTAAAAGGGTATAAAAAGCTTGTTATCATCGTCCGATATCGGTCTCCAATGACAGGGAGTGCGGCTTCTTGCGCATCTTCGAAGAAATAAGAGCCGATGGTACCGCCGGACAAACGTGTAGCGTTCTATGATCAAATTTTACGACTAAATAAGTGTTCATGGCAAATTTGACTGCTATCGCTTTACCAAGATGGCAGCAATGAGCTGTCAAAGTTCGAACGGCCCTATTGAAAAACCCTATACTTACAGAATATTGCTAGGTAAGGCAGAATTTTAATCATAGGCATAATACTAGACGTTCTCGAAGCTATCAACTGCTTTAATTTTATTATTGAAAAACAAATTGATACCTCTAAAGTGCCTAGACATGTCCTACTCAATCTTCTCTTACTGGACCCAACAAAGGATTATCTCCATTCTAACTAATTTAACCGTAAAACACCATCTGTTTAGAAAATTCAAACAGCCATTGAACTAATACGCAAATGATAATATCTTCGTTTCAATTATTTTGGCATAGAATGTCATCACTCTATACTTTCTTGTATACTATAGGTGATTAAGGGATTCAATGACCATAAGTGCTTTCTGACTATCATAGCAGCAAAGTGTGATCGCCAATCGGTATTATATATGTACATATATCTGAAAAGAAAACATAATCCGTTCCGCTATGTAGATTGGGGCATCATCATCTCAAACACAGCCCACAAAGGTCCACTGCTGATTAAAGGCAGATGCCAATTTTAACAGCTAGTTGGTCCATTTTAGTCCAAAGGACAGCACTTAAGAAACATGAGACTTCGAGTTCACATGCGAAAATAGGTGCGAAATTCACGCGGTCAATGGGCTTGGATAAATAAAACCAGGTGAACAGTGAGTCTGCATACATGTTCCAATAAAAAAGAAAGATCGAGACTACGAGATCACTGTGTCAAGATAAATTTGTTTGAACCGCACCAGATCTACCAATAGAACCACAATAATTATTCGAATTTACCTGAATAAATCACGACTCGGCCAGGCTTCTAACCACAGTGCGAACTATCAACGAATCCTGATAATGTCGTAACTTTGAAAATAAACATTCCATAATGTACTATTATGTATTAGATGCAAGGCTTTGGCCTTCGTGTGGTCAGTGACTTTGGAGCGGCTCATCGTTATGTGAGCGAGTTTGGGTTATATAATAAACGGGTTAAATCGAAATACGTACAAATATCTTAAAAAATATAATTTTATTTTATAACGGTCTTCGTGAATTAGCGGTTACCAGCCACTTACCCCCAGCCACTTGGCAGACTTATCTAGAGCTTGGCGTATTTGATATAGGGAGCAAGAGATTAAAGTGGAAAAATCTACCCAAATGCTTTGAACGAAAGAGCCTGTTTGTTCTCTTCTTAGAACTAGTGTAGACTCAAATCGACTTGACAACGTTCAAAGATTAGAATGGCTTATCCACAATTTCACCAGCTAAACTGTGACGCTGCTCATTTGCACTTTGTCATTTGCAAATTATAATAAACTAGCGGCCCGCCCCGGCTTCGCTTGTGTAGTAGAGCACGCGATGTAAAAAAATTTAGGTAATTTTTTTACACATTGGGTTACATTATTGGAGTTTCAGTAAGGATCCCATTTTTTTTTGAAAATATAATAATTATAGCCTATGTCACCCAGGGATAGCGTAACTTTCCAACAGTGAATATTTTTTTTAAATCGTTTCGGTAGTTTCGGAGCCAATTCAATACAAACAAACAAACAAACAAATCTTACCTCTTTATAATAATATATTAGTATAGAAGTATAATAGACTAATAATAAATTAGAAAATTATAATTAACAGTATTGTCTTTGCCTATTGTAGATGCATACATAACGGTGCATTTTAGGGTTTGTTTGTATGACACATTCTCTCATTCACTCATTCGCTCATTCATTCATTGAGTTTTCACAAATATTTATTTTAAAATATATTTGGAAGACGTGAAAATACTCAGATATCCCCTTATTATCTTATATACTTATGTTTTATGTAATTTCTTCTTACTCAATTAAGAATTTATGCGCATTTAGTTACAGATTTATCTGAATGTCAAAGGATCTTGATGATAGTCTGTCCCTATTAATGAAAAAGTACATGTTGTTATCATTCGTGTATTAAAAATCGAAAGAGGAAAAATATCAAATCATATTGTCACTTTTAAAATTCAAACTGTGCAATATTTCTTACATTTAGATATATTTATATTTGGTTCTAAATTTCCTACATCCACAAGTGGTGGTAGGACCTCTTGTGAGTCCGCGCGGGTAGGTACCACCGCCCTGCTTGTTTCTGCCGTGAAGCAGTAATGCGTTTCGGTTTGAAGGGTGGGGCAGCCGTTGTAACTATATTTGAGACTTTAGAACTTATATCTCAAGGTGGGTGGCGCATTTACGTTGTAGATGTCTATGGGCTCCAGTAACCACTTAACACCAGGTGGGCTGTGAGCTCATCCACCCATCTAAACAATAAAAAAAAAGTTTTATTACACTTTAGTGGCCGATTTTTTAGAATCCTTAAAACCTTGAAAAGTTTGCATCAGACGCGTAATGCAATATCAATGCAATTCTGACTAGGTTACTAGCACTGCTAACCGCCTTGAATGCATTCTGGTTATGTCTCAATTTTAGTCTAATTACAAATACGTGGCTTACAAAATAATTTTTCTAATTCCTATATTCTGTGAGGTAAATGCTCGAAATATTTTTAAAGCTATTTTATTTTTAATTTTTATTTTACTAATTATAAGGTATATATAATTTTAGTTTGATTAACTGAAAACGTATTGATTTTGTTTAGTTGCATAATAATATAGTAAGTAATACATTAATTGTATCTCAAGTCTTAAAGAACTTGCTTGTACGAACTTAAAAACATTGCTCAAAACGTTTACTCTTACGAGATTATAAATGCAGACAAATTTAACGTCTCGATGTGTCCTTGAATAATAATAATAATAAAAAAAACGTAATGGACGTAACTCGACCTTGTCACATGACCCACTTTCCCATGTAACGCACGATCCCACCAACTAGCAATAACGCAACCCGATGACAGGGCTAGCCAGCATTTGTGGAACGGATTAGAAGGCAACGTTGCGTGAAAAGCGGGCTTCTTGGTAAAGAGCCGAATTTATGCAACCGAAATACAAAAATAATACAATACTGTTTTTCGGTCGTGCCGTTCAGTGCATACTCGTGACCCGATATTGTCGCACTATCGGATCGGTTCGTGCGGTTAACGGGATGTGTGACAGATTAGTTTTAGTTTTCGCCACGGCGATTGCAGCAAGCTTGGTCAGCGGTTCAGCAGCTAAATTAGCACGTAAGTTATTTTCCGCATGCATAAATCGAGTGGGCAACCTTGGATAATATATTCCTACATTGTATGAAATGTTGCACTATTTTTTGTTGACATTCTGTATTTTCATTCTGTGCTAAATCAAGTATAGTCACAAGAATGGTGATACCTATGAATGACGACAACCATTCACTATTAAGTCTCCCGTATGCTAGTTACTCTCTACCTTCGAAATCAATAAAAAAAGTATGGAATAAAATTGTTTGAATTACAAACTTGATTGATTTAATGTTACTGAAAGAGACAATACGGTTAAATTAAATACGTATTGGTCAATCAAGTACTTAAACATGTTGTTTTTTTTGGGATAAAAAGTATTCAGACCGTGCAAAACAATAAGTCAATCCTTTTAAAAGTTTCTGCTTAAAAAAGGACAAAGTATAAGTTTACTTCCCCATACATTCAGTCGTATTAATATTTTAGCATTAAAAATCACATTTATGACAAATTACTGAATTTCATGACATTTTAGCTTTTCATGTTAAATACCTATACCGAAACAAAATTATCTTTGACTTAATTCACGTAAAGCCTATACAATATTGATGCTGATATCACTATCGTAAAAATAGTGAGTAAATACTTATAGCAGGGCTTGCACATATGGGTAACGTAAATACTGTCATGGGAGCAAGGTCGATTTCCGCAAAACCTGTATTGGCTTAATAACGACAATGACACACATAAGAAATATTGTAAATATTGTGCTTTTTTTTANTCTTTGACTTAATTCACGTAAAGCCTATACAATATTGATGCTGATATCACTATCGTAAAAATAGTGAGTAAATACTTATAGCAGGGCTTGCACATATGGGTAACGTAAATACTGTCATGGGAGCAAGGTCGATTTCCGCAAAACCTGTATTGGCTTAATAACGACAATGACACACATAAGAAATATTGTAAATATTGTGCTTTTTTTTAATAATTACATACGAGTTTTGACAACATCTATCCACTACTCTGACTCTAGTTTTTGGAATGCATCATTTCTCACTTTTTGTCGTAGCGACATTTTAGTTTTCGTCTCCTCCCTCTTTGTGGGGAAGAAGAGAGAGAGAGAGAGAGAGAGAGAATACACTTTATTGCACACCAAAACACAATTTACATTCAAAAAACAATAAAAAAAACAGATACATTTGTGCAATAGGCGGTCTTATCATTAAAAGCGATCTCTTCCAGACAACCGTTTAATTTATAGAAATTCTATAAAATATGTATAAAAAATATAGCAGGTATGTTGCGGTATACTATAGATAATACATTATCATAGAAAATATATACATACAAAAACAAAATATATACCGTTTACATAATATAATATGAAATATATACCAATATTTATATATAGAAGCAGGGATATAAATGTTCTCTACTTCATACTGTCTTCTGATTACTTCCGTTGTGGGATCTTCAATACTTATTTACTTTAGGAATAACACCACATTAACCGTGATTAAGTAATATCAAGCTGAATAAATTAGTCTATGTTTATTTGTCAATAGCTAAATTTAATTATAGCCCAAATGAAGATGGTGATGTTGTCTTTACTCTAGCTATTTGAGTTACGATTTCATCTTCAATATTAGTGGATCCAAGCCACAGTTCAGATATTATTTAATGCTACACCTTGACTTTATTCGAATTTGTCATACAAGCAGTAGATTTGTTTTTGTGGCAAATCAATAGGTACTCTGATTTTACCAAACTGCCAATTCCTATAAAGCTTTGCGATTTCTGAGAAGAGTACATTGACAAACTATAGACTTGTTTACACAGTTATTCTTTGTGTCCGTTTCTTAACTCATATAGATATGACGTGTCTTTTAACTTATTCTACGTGGACATTTTCTTGTCTAAGTTCCTAAATTGAGGTACCGTGAACATCGTTTCTCTTTTTTTCGTCCATCTAACCATTTTCAATAGATTAGCCACGAGCAAAAATCATTTGCTTAAAACAATAACTTTTATTTTCCATATATGGGACTATTAGGCCTTATTCAAGTGGTTAGGAATGTTTAATTTTTGCATAAAGACTACCCAACAAGTTATTAATTAGAATTAAATGAATTTACGAGGCCGACCTCTTTGAAATACGATTATTTCTCCTCAACTGTCCGTAGTGACAGTGCTGTTTTTATTTATTTCGTTCACCACTTCTTCTTTTGATTGATCAATTTTCAATCTATCATTTCCAAGATCAATACGCCTGTCATTTTATAATCTGACATCTCCTGGTTGAATGAATACAAGAAGAATTACAAAAATATTTAACCCATTAAAACCATTTAGTTTCGTGTAATTTGGAAGCAATTGTTACTGTTACAGCAATTATTTATCTATCTTATCTACAAACACGAGATGTAAACAATAAGTGGGACACTGACCCACAATTACTGAAGTTTTTCATTTGTTTTAGGATTTTCAATTTATGATCTATTCAAATAAAACACTTTCTATGACAGACATTAAACTGTGTTGGGATTGCGAATAATTTTTGAGTAAGTTTTATATTCCAAATTGTTTTTCGGAAATTATTTATCCTTTATGGACTTTTAATATTCAACAACTTCTAGATTAAGTTTAACTTAATTATACGAACCACAACAAACCAACAGAAAAGAACAAGTATATAAAGATCCTATATACCAAACACTTTAAAACATCATTGGACTGCCTCATTATTTAAATGTCACATTAAAGTCGTCAAAGTATTATTATAAACAACCAGTACCAACATTATGAAAAAGAATGATGTTCATTTTCGTAATATTTACACGTATATTATTAAGGTCACCGCCAAAGAACTTGTCATTAAACACATGGTCATTAAATACATGTAATTTAATACACTAATCGTTATTCCAGAGAATTACCTCATCTGTGTTTATGTTTGTTCTCTATACTTGTAATTTAGAGTTTTTTCAGTTTCAACAGCATGGCTAAGTAAGGTTTCAAATGATCGCAAAATATCGACTAAATTATGAACCAATATCCTAGATTATAACTTCACTGCCCTTAGAAATGGCCTTAGCAATAGAAGATTACGCATTCGAATTAAAAATGTGTGTTAACTTTCTTTCGTTGACTTTGTCCGCTTAAGAATTTTTCTTTCTTTCAGCTGATTTCATCCATCCGTGCAACGATACCACACCAGCATGTCTAATACAAGCCACAAAAGACGCTATACCGGAGTTCTCGAAAGGTCTACCTCATCTTGGGGTGCCATCACTTGATCCGTTTATCATTGAGGAGCTACCTATTCAATTACCAGGAATCAAAGTCACTTTCTATGGTGGAAAAGCGACGGGTTTGAGGAATTGCGAAGTTTTGAATGTCGAGTAAGTAAGCATTTTGATAAGATAAATGGACACTGTATTTTCGCCAAGGTGAAATAATATAAATATAAATAAATATAAATATTTTACTAACAATCACGCCACGTTAACTGGTCCCGTGATAAGTTCGTAAAGAACTTGTGTTACAGGTACCAGATAACGGAAATAAATGTAAGATTTTTATTATACACATACATATATTTAATATACATCCATAACCCTGGAAAAGACATTTATATTTATCATACAAATATCTTCCCTTGGCGGGATTCGAACCNTGATAAGTTCGTAAAGAACTTGTGTTACAGGTACCAGATAACGGAAATAAATGTAAGATTTTTATTATACACATACATATATTTAATATACATCCATAACCCTGGAAAAGACATTTATATTTATCATACAAATATCTTCCCTTGGCGGGATTCGAACCCGCGACCCCCTAGTGTAGTGACCATGTCACTTACCACTACACCAGACGGGCGTTAGAAAGACTATATTGCGGCCTATCTTATAAAAAGGCTGCTACAAGATATGTACAATGGTGACGGGAATACCGAGCCGAACCGAAGACGTGTCCTTAGCAGTATGGGAATCCACAGCGATAGGCAGCGGCTTGGCCGTGCCTCTGGCATTGCTGTCTTCCATGAGTGACGGTGTCTACTAACCATCAGATGAACCGTGGGCTCATTTGCCAACAAACACAATATCAACAAAACATGTTATAGTACTCAGGGACTTCTGAAGGTAAAACTTCATCAGTCTTTACAATTGAGACAGAGCAAATAAATGAAAGTAGTGGCGTTTACGTTGTCTATGGACCCCGGTGACCATGTAGCACCAGGTCAGCCGTGAGCTCTTTTACTCGGCTGGTAAATAAATAAGTAAAAGTTGACGGTTCATGGACGGAACAACTTCTGAATTCAACAACATGTAAATGGCTTAAACTAAACAGTACGAATTTTTCTCCAGTGTCAGTATACCGTAGTCAGATAATGCAGATAATAGTCTTTCTTCTTTAGTCCATTGAAGTAATTCCCGTGGAATAACTAGCTTTTTTTATTTTTTATTGCTTAGATGGATGGACGAGCTCACAGCCCACCTGGTGTTAAGTGGTTACTGGAGCCCATAGACATCTACAACGTAAATGCCCCACCCACCTCGAGATACAAGTTCTAGGGTCTCAGTATAGTTACAACGGCTACCCCACCCTTCGAACCGAAACGCATTACGGCTTCACGGCGGAAATGGGCGGGGTGGTGGTACCTACCCGTGCGGACTCCCAAGGGATCCTAATACCAGTGATTACGCAAATTAAAATTTTGCGGGTTTGGTTTTTATTACACGATGTTATTCCTTCACCGTGGAAGTCAATGGTGAACATTTGTTGAGTACGTATTTCATTAGAAAAATTGGTACCCGCCTGCGGGATTCGAAAACCGGTGCATCGCTACATACGAATACACCGGACGTCTTATCCTTTAGGCCACGACGACTTCAGACATGATAGCCANATTACGCAAATTAAAATTTTGCGGGTTTGGTTTTTATTACACGATGTTATTCCTTCACCGTGGAAGTCAATGGTGAACATTTGTTGAGTACGTATTTCATTAGAAAAATTGGTACCCGCCTGCGGGATTCGAAAACCGGTGCATCGCTACATACGAATACACCGGACGTCTTATCCTTTAGGCCACGACGACTTCAGACATGATAGCCAGGAGAAATCAAAACTCCTTCTCTACATTAACATTATTATTTATTCATCAATTTATAATTGATGTAACTAAACGCACAAATGAACGAAATAGCAATTATATTCAGAGTCATCGCGTTAGAATTTCATGCAATCAATTCTCCGGAAGTATTGCCCTCTGGACTGGAACGTATCGGGTTTTTTTCGCAAATCGATCGTAGCGATACAACATTTCTAGGTTAGCAATTAATTTATACGGTGTTTCGAGGTTTTTTTTCGTTTTCCATGAATCAACAAAACACCTTAGTGAAATAATATGCTACATTGAACTGATTAATAATAGTCGTAAATACCACTAAAAACAATGTTTTTTTTTGTATTCAATTGATTTGTAATATTCATGAATAAGACGTGTAAAAACAATCTCTTGATCTCTTTTTAAACTATTGATTATAATACAATAGATAATACATAAATTAAAAAAAAACATAAATACATACATAAATTTAAAAGGATTTCAAAAGACTGAAACTCTGTAAAACTGATGAGGTCTCTGACCTTCTTTTGAAACCGAACTGGAATTCTCCAATCGCACAAATTTCAAAACAATGACTGGATGTAAATTTACATGACAACTTGGTCTACCCTTTCACTTATTTCGCAATGGAATCCTAAATACAGCAATTAAGGAAACCTTGGAAAACAACGCTGCAGTGGCGTTCCCACGGTTCTATCCTATGTGGACTGCGTTGACGAAATCTTTTGTTTCGCTGTCGTACGACAAATTAGTTTTATTATTGCACGTTTACAAAATTCCCAAATAATTCTCTTTTGCGTTTTATCTTTGAGAGATATATGAATTTAAAAAAAAATGCACAAGCCTTTTATAAAAAAAGGTTTATTATTATTCGTTATTATTCATTTTCAACGAGTATATTTTCGCCATCGTAAAGGAAAATCATTTATGCCATTTAGACAAAACTCTAGATAATTTTAACGCCACTAGTGCTAAGTACGTGAAGACATTCAACTTCGTTACATCTTTTTTATCTTGCTTGATATATTCCTAATTATGAAAAACCGGTCAGCTAGGCCTGGATATAGCGAGTACGCAGGCTTTTACCTATAGCTGTCAACTGCCGATTTTGTAGCATTGTAACCGAATAGCACATCGAGCAATGTGGAGTCTCGCAGCGTCTTCTTCTTGCCCCTAATGCACTTATGAGTTTGGCGCGACATGTCCTTTTTTTTCCATTTCTATCAATATCAAGCTGCTTAGGGAATTAACATGAGTTTTACGACCAATCACCTACCTGACGTTACCCCTCCTTCAAAATGCTGTCCTTAGCAGATGATGGTTAATTGAAGAAGATTCTTGGTCGCCTTTTGTGATACCCACGGGACGATATGGGTCGGTCTATTTTATGTCGGGAATCGCATGCCATCTTGCGATATCATAAAACAATAATGGCGGAGATTGACGAGTAAGGGTTGCTGTTCATTCTGAGTTTCGTCATCGGTGTCTTTTCTATGACTGAGGTTGGCTTAACGACGCCATTCTAGTATATAATCTGGGCTTAGTCACTGTATAATATTTGTCCTGTATTTATTCATAAAAAAGGCCAAGTTCAACTTTATAAAAGCAAAACAAACTGTTAAGAACGTTCTCTGAATTTCAGTTAGTTTATTTTTTTTTCCTTTCTTTTATTTTCATTAAAGACAACGTTAGCTTTACGTTTAGTTGTTCACTCATCTATGCCAAAAAAAGAAGTTCAAGTCTCAACTATATTTAAACAAAGCACTTTCTACAATAAAAGAATTAAGCCCCGATTCTGCGTTATCATCTACCATTTTTTACTAAGCCAGATAGAAAATAAATATTTGGTGTTTTTTTTCCAGAGCTTACCTTGAGAAGAACGTTTTCAAAATAGAAGTTCGCTGCAACATCACCATCAAGGGGAAATATACAGCAGTAGGAAGATTGTTGTTATTCCCTATTAACGGCGAGGGTGACTCTAAGATTAAAATAGGTAGTTAAAGTTTTTATTTCATTAATCTATACTAATATTATAAGGCTGAAGAGTTTGTTTGTTTGAACGCGCTAATCTCAGAAACTACTGGTTCGTTTTGAAAAATTTCTTCTTCTTTCAGTGTTAGATAGCCCATTTATCGAGGAAGGCTATATAACATCATGCTAAGACCAATACAAGCGGAGCACCGATAAAGAATTTTTCAAAATCGGGGTTATTTTTACCTTTTGAGAGCTTCCGCTGTGTGCGCTGCAGAAGCGGCTAAAATTTCGCTAAAATAATGTATGACAGAATTGTTCCCCTTTAAAAGAACTAAAAAAAAGTCCGTGACAGCATATGTCTATATTTTAAGGTTGGCTCACTATAACGTTTTTTATGCTAACCAAATTTGTTCTAAAATAAAGCATTATTTGTGAACTATTCCACGCGGACGAAGTCGCGGGAAAAAGCTAGTTTTGAAATAAACAAACAAATAGATTTGCTTTGATGATACAGCGTAAATTTTTTACCAGAACTATGGAAGTAGCTATCCAACGTACAATGTAAATGCCGCATGCATTCTAGTTCATAATTGAAGTGGAACTCTCAATTGTATTATTTCACTCTTTAAACACGGACGCAGACTGCTTCGTGGCAGAAATAGACCAGATAATGGCGGTACCTATCATTCATACTTGTCCATAGGCTTCCGTAACTGATTAGTATCAACAGGACCACGAGCAGCAATAAACCTATTTATTAGTAAAAGTTCTATAATAAGACATTTATTTCACTTTTTTTCAGTGAACTCTGTAATCAAGCTGAACATTCACACCAAATATTACAAAGATTCAAATGGCCGTGATCATTTCGGCATCAAAAACTATAAATTTAACTTTGATTATGGCGAAAGGATACATTACACCATTACGAATCTTTTCAAAGGAAACCCAGAATTGAGTAAGTGTGATTTTAGAAAAACAATAACCAAATAGTCTTCGATCTTAAAACAAATGATGTTGTAGATCAAACTTAAATTATGGTTTTTTCTGAAATTACCAAATTTTTGTAAGTTCACTTTTTTTTTATTGCTTAGATGGGTGAACGAGCTCACAGCCCACCTGGTGTTAAGTGGTTACTGGAGCCCATAGACCTCTACAACGCAAATGCTGCCACCACCTTGAGATATGAGTTCTAAGGTCTCATCAGCATAGTTACAACGGCTGCCTCACCCTTCAAACCGAAACGCATTACTGCTTCACGGCAGATATAGGCAGGGTGGTACCTACCCGTGCGAACTCACAATAGGCCACCAGCAGTAATTACGCAATTTATAATTTTGCGGATTTAATTTTTATTACACGATGTTATTTCTTCACCGTGGAAGGCAGGCACACGGGAAGAATTCTTAAGTACGTATTTCATTAGAAAAAAATATTGGTACCCGCCTGCGGGATCCGAACACCGGTGCATCGCTAGGTACGAATGCACCGGACGTCTTATCCTTTAGGCCACGACGACTTCGAATAAAGAACTAAACCTTCCTACTTCAACGCATTAGGACTTTTGATCTAAACATTTCTCGTGTGCAGACCAAAAAGTACTAAAAAACCAAATAAAAATAAAATTTGATTAAGGAAGTTACTCACTCCGACGAGAATCAAGCCCGGAGCCTGTGGCACAATTCTGTTTGTTACTAACCAACGAAGCCATCAATTTCCATGATAACTAGACGTGCTGCGTAATTTTGTCCGTAATTACAATGTACAATTCAGAAATAATAAAACACGTTGCATTTGGCGAGGACAAAGAGTCACTTGCGTCAGTTTGTGCCTTAAATAGTGCCAGTCAATTTGTAGGTCTGTTAGTACGAGTAAGTTAAATAACGAACCAGAGAAATGTATGTCTTTAATGTCTACTATGAAGCGTAGCTGTAGTACTATTTTTGGAGTTTACTCCTTTAGAATCGATTTACATATATAGGCCCGGGGTATGAAAATTATGGGGACCAAAATCGTACTAGCATGTCACACGAAATGCGTTATGCGCCTGATTGGCTCCTGATTGCGTGATGCGTGCGCGCGCCAATCAAAATCGTACTAGCATGTCACACGAAATGCGTTATGCGCCTGATTGGCTCCTGATTGCGTGATGCGTGCGCGCGCCAATCAGGAGCCAACGCGCGGCCGCGTTATCGCAGGTGACGCCGGGCTGCTGCGCCGGCAGTCCGCCACAAAGCCTCGTACTGATCGCGCGTTTCTCTCATTATTGTATTTTCATATATTTGTTAGTCGTTTGTTTTGTGTCTCGTTAATTTGTTAATAATCTGTAGTGTATCGTGTTGTCGTAATATAGAACTATTTCTCGTATTGTTTCGTTTAATTTTTTATATCCAGTAAACTCCAGTCGTGCGTCGGAGCGGACACACACACTTTTTTTTTTAAATATTTTATTTTATAATATTTATAATATTAAGGCAATAATTAAAGTTATTTTTGTCCACTATCTACTCATGCGTCGTATTTAAGGGTGGAAACTTGCTTGGTTTCTGTTTACCTATTCTATGTAGATATTGCACTATTCGTTGCTCAATTATGTAAATAAAAAGTACACGATGTGATAATTCAGGTTGTAAATTTTATTTGTGTAAGCCTGCTCTCATTCCAATTCTCTCTCATTTCCAATTCGTCGCCGTACATGCTAATTTTTTTTATTGACCTTGTAGGCAGACGAGCATACGGCCCACCTGATGGTGAGTGGTTACCGTCGCCCATGGACTTCAGCAATGCCAGGGGCAGAGCTAAGCCGCTGCCTACCGCTTAATACCCTCCACAAACCTTTTTTGAAGAAGGACATGTCATAGCGCTACACTAAATAAAATATTTATGTTTTCACAGGTAATACGGTACTCCAATTCCTGAACGAAAACTGGCGGGTGGTCACGGAAGAATTCGGTCAGCCGGTCGTGGATTACGCCCTGAACGTAACAGTAAATACGGCAAAGAAATTCTTCGACGCCGTTCCTTACGACGAGCTATTGAACGTGCCTATCCCAAAATATTAGTTGTGATATTCATAAATAGAAGGCTGAATATTTTGTAACAATTTTGCATTATTTTTGGGGCTTACTTAATCATAATAATTTTAGTATACTTTTAAGTGTAAATACTAAGCTTTAAGCGGGCGTGAAGTGAAGCATAGGCTAGGAGAGAATGCGATGGCAACTAGACGCGATCACCATGAACGTTTTCCATCCCACCTATTAAATAATAATGATACAGATGAATTTCTAAAGCCTAAATTAGTGTCGTGCTTAGTATTGTCATTAGCGGGGACCTCTTATGAGTACGCACGGGTAGGTACCACGCTACCTATTTTTGCCGTGAAGCAGTAATGCGTTTCGGCTTGAAGGGTGGGCCAGCCGTTGTGACTATACTGAGACCTTAGAACTTAGATCTCAAGGTGGGTGGCGCATTTACGTTGTAGATGTCTATGGGCTCCGGTAACCACTTAACATCAGGTAGTCTGTGAGCTCGTCCACCCATCTATGGAATTAAAAAAAAAAACTTTCCCAAGTACGTGTTTTATTAGAAAAGTAATACCAGCTTGTGGGATTCGAAGACCGGCACAGTCGCAGCGTTCAATGCACCGGGCGTCTTATCCTTTAGGCCAAGACGACTTCATCTCACGAATCTGTCATGACCCACACCACATTTGGTTTGATGTAAACTACACAATTTATTGAAAAAGGCAAATCATATTATAGTTCTATTGGTGAAAGAGTAAAAAATATCATTTAAAAAATAATCGAAACTGGCTCGAACAGAAAAGTAATTATTGTTGCTGAGAACGCAATCACGTTGCTATGCCCATTAAATCCGGTAACTAAGAAGAATGTATGTGTATATATTTCCTTACCAAACCGAAAGAAGTGAGCTCAACACTCAGAGCTCGAGAAGACATGAAGAGTAAACCATAACGTGATAATTACCAATCCATCTACGGCTATGTGACTGAAAATCCGGTTTCAAACATCAAAATTTATTCTCATAATATTATACTAGTGTTAGAAATAAACTTTAATAAATTAGCAAGTCAAATCGATCCCATTTCAAAAATAAAAACAACTTAATTAAATTACTCTTCACATAATTAGGGACTAACAATAAAATATTTTATAATTACCACTCGACTTGTTTTATTCTATGTATCTTGACGGATAATAATTCTCGTTCGAAGTTTATTCTATTGTTTTAATTTTAATTATTATTTGAAACTATAAACAATAGCCATCAAATGTGTTTATTGTAATAAAATTAAGGTCTTCGTTATATTATTAATTATAAGGTTCTTGATGCAAAAAATTACCTTAATCTTTTTAATTTAAAGGTAGGTAGCCTACACACGCGTTTACTAACAATTCAAAATACTGTTAAAGCAGTGAGAGGTGCAGCTCTTAACATTTATATAATGTAACCCCCTTAGCCCAACACTATGGGGAGGACCTTTCCGACTTCATTATAGAGGAGATAAATACTGTTTTGGAACAGCATAAAAATAACAAAGCAACCGAGGATGACGGAATTAATACTAAATTGCTGAAGTTAAGTGGTACATCAGGTGTCAACCACTCCTCCTCAACGTTCAACTGCGTCATCCAAAGTACGACTAAACCGGAAGCTTGGAATAAGGGTACTGTCATTTGGGTACTTTTATTTATGAAGGGAGACCGTGCTCTGCTTAAGAACTACAGCCCTATTTTATTTATTAGCCATAATTATAAGCTGTTCTCGAGGGTCCTTACTAATCGTTTAGCTTCTAGTTTTGACACACGTTATTCAAAAGACTAAAGAATACAATCGTCTTCTGTGTCGCGCGTTTATGGATTGCAAAAAACCCAACGACTCCTCGAAACTTCGGCTGCTTTGGAATCCTTACAGCGATTCCTAGTCGATTATCGGTACGTATAAGTGTAGATGAGTTTATGTAAAGGCGCTATAATGACAGTTCAGAAGCAAGCCCAGTAGACAAACCCGATTGAGCTTAACAAAGGGATGCGATAGGGTGACGCTATATCGCCGGAACTGTTCATTGATGCTTTTGAGACTGATGATGAAAAACATCGAACTAGGACATCGTCTTAGGCTTTGTTTGCAACTGAAGTTAACATCGCAAATGTGAAGGAAATAATTACTAAAAATCACTTGAGATTTATTCACTAAAATAACATTTTTTAAAACTCTACAAATACTATCAAGCGACCACCTCATTCACCAAATATGGCTCCAATCGACTTTTTTCTTTTTCTAAAATTCTAATTACTACTTTGTGGCACCCGTTTTCATTCGACATAAGACATAAAGGAGAATTTGAAGCGAGAACTGAGTTCAATTGCTGAAAAAGGCGGTTAAAAATGTTTTGATGATTGAATCATTCGTTGGAGTGAATATATCCTTTCGAAACATAGTCACAAACATATGATCAAGGATCATAATTGTCAGAATTCAAATAAAACAGTTGCTGATTTTTGTAACTAATATACTTCTGGTAAGTGTTCACGAATGCCTATCATAATGAATAATCTCGTGTAATGGAACGAAGTAACCAAAGTGCCTATTTTAAGGTTTGAAAAATAGGACTGTCGTTGTATAATACATAAACTTCAACCTCATCATACATCAAAGCGGTTACTTATTCACGTTTCGATGTCCTAGGGCAACAGTTTAGTTACCATTTTGCAACAACTGGGTCGTGAACTACTCTTTCCATCTAAATGAAAAAAACATATTCGCATGGTTTTGGAACCGAATAGGGAGATTGGGTAAATTATGACCGAAAACGTAGTTCTTTCGGTGAGCATAACTAATAATGTAATCATAGTAGGTGTGATTATTCGAAACGAAATGACACGCGGTAGTGATAAAGGATGTATTATAATGTAGGATGTATTATATATCATTAGTTGACCTCTTGAGGTCGAGTTGTCTCTAACAATTATCATTTAGGCGCTGGTTAAAATAATCATTGTTTCCACTATCAATACATAGGTATAATAAAACAGTATAATCCGGTTTCTGTACATGAAAAAACACTGCTAAGAAACGATATCTACATTTTCTAGAAGAATTTGCTTAATTACTGTTGGTAGACCGTTTTGTGAGCCCGCATACACCGACTACCGATACTATTATCCTACGTATTTCTGCCATGAAGCAGTTATGCGATTAGTTGGGAGAGTGGGACAGCTGTTGATGGCTTAGACCTCATGTCTCAAGGTGGGTGGTAGAAAGTTGTCGTGGCCTAAAGGAGGGGAGAGGAGACGTTCGGTGCATTCGTATCTAGCGATGCAACGATGTTCCGATCCCGCAGGCGAGTACCAACTTTTCTAATGAAATACGTACCTATCAAATGTTCACGATTGACTTCCACGGTGAAGGAATAACATCGTGTTATAGAAATCAAACCCGCAAAATTACATATTATTTGCGTAATTTCTGGTGGTAGGACCTCTGGTGAGTCTGCACGGGTAGGTACCATCACCCAGCCTATTTCTGCCGTGAAGCAGTAATGCGTTTCGGTTTGAAGGGTGGGGCAGCCGTTGTAACTATACTAAGACCTTAGAACTTATATCTCAAGGTCGGTGGCGCATTTACGTTGTAGATGTCTATGGGCCATGTAACCACTTAGCACCAGGTTGATATTTACGTTTTCTATTGGCCCCGGTGACCACATAGCACCGGGTCGGCCGTGAACTCGTTTACCCGGCTGGTAAATAAATAAATAAAAGTTGACGGTTCATGGACGGAACAATTTCTGAATTCAACGACATGTACCTAAATGGCTTAAAGTAAACAATACGAACTTTTCTCCAGTGGCAGTATACTGTTGTCGGATAATGCAAACGATGGCCTTTCTTCTTTAGTCCATTGAAGCACTTCCCGTCGACGATAGCCATTAGAAATTAAAACTCCTTCGAATTTACCTTATTATTTATGCATCGATTTAAAATTGATGTAACTAACGCACGAATGAACGAAATGGCAATTATATTCAGAGTCATCGCGTAGAATTGCGTGCAATCAATTCTCCGAAAGTATTGCCCTTTGGACTTTTCGGTTTTTACATATCGGTTTTTTTTTTTCGCAAATAGAACGTAGCGATTCGATATTTCTAGGTTTTTTTGGTCAGGAGGAAATCGCCGGACTTCCGCCCTCCCCTGTGGATGCAGAACGGGGCATGTCGGAGTCGAACCGACTAAAACCTCCTGTCGCTCAACAAGCCGCGTCCGAACCTCTCATGAGACAGAACTCATGAAAAGGCAAAGTGGGGAAAGCGAAGCGCTTAGTGCGGAGCACATCTCTCCGATCACCCTCCTCGGGAAGCTGGACCGGACTCTCGGTCGGCAGGCTATCTGAAGCCCGCCTAGATGGCGCCGGTTAGAATGGGTTATCCTACGGAATACCCCGCTGGGTCAGAACCAGCGCGGGTCGAGGATAGCGGACCTTCCATTATCCGCATGCATGCTCTTGCATAAAACGCGTGCAGAGCAGCTTGCACGTTGTCTTCTTAGGTCCCACTCGCCGGTCCCCAGACAGACATGTGAGGGGGACCCGAAACAATTAGAGGGGCAGGGCTTAAGTGAGATCCGTTTCCCTGGCCTCCGCTCGACGGCGGTGGGCTTGTGCGTCTCTCTTGCGCCCCGCCGCCTCCTTCTGCGAGATGGTGCACTCGCAGAAGTCGAGCATCGCCTTCTACGACTCGTCACCTCTGAGCATCGATGCCACGACACTCGGAAACGACAAGTCGTTTTGCGACGTAGTCACGGCGCCACCCCTTCCATGCGGGGCAGACGACGAGCGTGTGCTCCACTGTGTCCAAGTTGCAACCCCAATGGTGGCACTCTGCCGTCGGCTCGGCTCCGATCCGGTGCAGGAATTCACCGAAGCAACCATGCCCAGTGAGCACCTGCGTGAGCCGGAAAATGAGGCGTCCTCCGTCACGATTCACCCAGTCCACAAGGGCTGGGCGAATCGCCTCGACGGTCCTACGACCAGCCGTAGGATCGGCCAGCCGCCTGGATCATGACTCCCTCACGGAACGCAGAGATTGGGCCCTTCGCGCTTTGGCCACACTGGGGTTGGGACGCGCCACGCTCCGGGCACGAAGGTCAGCCCGCCACTGATAGATAGTCAGCGGCGAGCGCCTCCGCCTCCAGGACCCAAGGCGACGTCCCAGCCAGTACACACGACGCCACTTACTATTAAGTGGTATCTGCCAATAGGCGGAACACAAGTCTATTGATGACAAATATTTGACATCTCTTAGACTATCTAAAAAAAGGATCGATGGAGACAGCTGGTTGATGGAATCGAACGGAGTCACGATCTTCAGCAGTGAAGGACCGACCGAAGAGAGAGAGAGAGACTATCTAAAA